ATCAGTCCAAACCACATTCCTGATACACCTGGTTTCATCCAGAAACTGAAACTGCTTTTGACTGTGCTAAAGGTTTTTCACAACTTAAGCAACCTACAATTTGACGTGAATGATCAAGTTACTCTTTTCTTTGTGCAGTCATGCACAGCTAACAGCAGAAAACTGCAGCACTGTGACTCTCCGTGAGAAGCATCTGAGGTCACATGACCTGCCTATGCAGCGCTATTGATTCAAATTAATCAAAGAATTCATTCAAATAACACTCTGGATTGTTTGTGAAGTCTCGGTGTCAGCTTGCAACTCACTGCTTGAAAGAATTCGATTGTATTCTCAACTGAATCCTTATAAGGAACAATTATGTGTATGAATTCATAACTCAGATCATATTTGTATGAATTACAGTTTTGGAACTCACGTGTACATTACAGAACTGAGTTAAAGTGTAATTTTCAGTACAATAGTCTCTCTGCCAAGTTGTCTGTACAAAGTGTTTACACAATAATTTATAGTCACTTATATAAAGACACTTCTTAGTTAAGGTGATAGATAAAGATGATTTACATCTTACTGTCATGATTTTTTTTCAAAGTTTGTTGTGTTATTTATTGTGTGGCTTGGCCACATGCTAGTAAATAATAGAGATCTTAATCATTGTGAATAATTGGTACTGGTGTAATGTGGGTAGATATGCCAGGACTACCTTGAAAGAATCTGGCCCAGCATCAACAAATGCTATTTGAGGAAGAAGTTCAAATGAGGACAGCCATTACAAACTCAAAATCCCAAGCATACAGTAGCTGCACTTTTAATAGAGTGCAAAGCAAACGTGTGTGAGCATGTGTGTGTGTGTTGGATTCAAGAGAATTTAACACCCTTTACAATAGGCCAACTATTAGTTTGCTATTGGCAACATTATAATGGAAATCAATTGAAGTACAACAAACTCCTAATTTTCTACATGTCATCATACATCGTGATACACTATCATTATTTAGAAAAGCAACAAGCCAAAAGCATTCAATATTTACAATCTGTTTGTGTTAAATATTTTAAAATGCATCAAACTTTGCCATTAATATTTCATCTGAAATATACAGTACTGTAGTTGTATATCATAAAAAACTGCCTGCAAACTTACTACTCTAAATTGCAGCAAAGCAGAATTCCAAACATTTTCTGCTTTATATTAATGTATCTGTGGACTGCATTTTTTTTGGTATTGCTGGATTAATTATTTGTTTTATTCATCCACATTTAGGAGATTAGGCTACCTAGCATGCTAGATTAACCCTATACTGTTGCATGCTTAAAGAGATAGTTCACCCCAAAATGAAGATATTATTATTTACTCATGTCAATCCAAGCCTATATTAACTTATTTCTTCTGCAGAACACAAAATAATGTATTTTGAAGAATGTTGGTAACAAACAGTTACCACTGACTTCCACTGTAAACGCATTTCTCAAAATATCATCTGTTGTGTTCCTCAGAAGAAATTAAGTCATTCAGGTTTGACACGACTTGAGTGCGAGTAAATTATCACAGAATTTCATTTTTGGGGGGGTGAACTACCCCTTTAAACAACACTTTAAAACTTTTTTAAATGTTAGAAAAGTCTTTAATAAGGGGTGAGCAGGTGTGTAGAAATGACTTCCTACACAATTAAGTTTTGTAAAGTTTGGGATTAAATTGACAAGTCGAACTGCAAAACAATACTGATCTCCACAGACATTTGTTTCTCCCAAATAAGTATTAAAATAGTTTCCAACACTTTTCTCTCAGGTGCAGGATCCAGAGGAAACGCTCTCCATACTTCCCACTTCCTTTTCCCACTTCTTTCTATTTCTGCTTCCCGTCACAAATGAACAGTGGTGTTGCCCCTGTCTGCAGCCCATCATGCAGAGGGCCAGATCTTGTGAGGTTGGGATTTAATTGGTATATTAGTATCCAGCCACATCCAAATTTATCAAATTTACGCTGGCCATTAATTTTGTAGAAGAACATACAATTAAGAGCTCATTAGTGCTCTCACTGGGATATGCCCTTTCATCTGCTGGAGGAACATTGAGAGTTGGCCTAACTCCAGAGCAAAGACCTCTCTTCCTCCTGCACTGCTGTTTCCTTAACATGCCTCCTCTGGCATACTCAGTCCAGCCATGTGGAATTCTGCTTTATAAAGAATATTTATTCCTTATATTATTAATATTTAAAACATACATTCTTAAGATTTTAGACCGAACATTTTTTTTTTACAATTTTATCATGCTCCTTCAATTTAAAGTAGCCTATATTTCTTGACAATGTAGTGGACAATGTTCTGTTTGGTAAGGGTTAACTGTGTTTTATTTATTTGTTTGTTATATATGCCTATGCAATATTGTATAGAGTCTGTGCTTCAGCCTAATTTTAGCTTGTCTTCAGCTGAGTGTCCTATATGAATGGATTTCTCATTCTGTTCTGCCGCTCTGGGTAAGTGGAGTTTGAAATTCAATGAAAATGTCACTGCGAGGGGTGTGACCTGCAGCCCTATACTATGCTGCATCACTCAATCACATAATTTTGGTTAAAGGGGATTTCCATTCCTCTCTGTTAATACTCACTGTCAATCTTTCTTATTGTATTCAAACAACAAACGGCTTATTCTTTCACTTAGCATTTTAATAAAATGCATTATACTGGTTACCAGGCATAGCTAAATTGTAAAAAAAAAATGTTTTCATCATTGTTTAACTTTTCACTAATTCAGTAATTTCTACTTGATATGATGAGATGTCACAGGTTCAACTAGATTGTCTTTACTACAATAACTACATTCAGAGTGGTTCCAAAAGTTGTAATGAACATATCACTGCAGGTTGTCATTTTGTCAGCATTTTTCAGTGTATAAAAGAAAAACAAAGGCAAGAACCATGCTACAGCTTGAAGGCACCAAACATGTTTCTCTCTCCCCATCCCCACTTTACTGCCTATGTCATTTTCTCACTGTTTTTTATTTTTTTGTAACGTAATTAATTAATTAATGTCTTATGGTTAATACTGATATCAAAGATCTGTGTCTACCAAAGGACTCCTATGATGAACCTATAATGTCCTATGAAGGAGGCAACATAAAAAAGAAACATTAGAGAAAGGCAGGGAAAACAAAAATAAAACTAAAAGAAAGTGTGGAAACACAAAGATATTGACTGACCAGGTGTAATGTGTGATGCTGAGGGCCAGCTGGGGCCGACGTGGCAGTGAGCCATCCCACCTCTGTCTGTCATCTACTCTGACATTCTGGCTAAGCTGGATGTCATTAGGATGTGGGTGACTTTGATCCTGTCAGCAGTGATGTGCCTCCCACTATATAGGTTGCCTTCAAAGTAAACTGCTGTATCATTGTAACTTTCGTAGCTTGTTATCTACATTTGTAGTCCTTTTTACTCGTACCTGACTGACATCCCCCTAGAACCGAAGGAGGGACTTTGTAGAAAACAAAGCGTTTGAGAGAGGCGGGGCATAGAGGACCTACAATAATGTACAGTATTTGAAAAATAATGTGTTTTTTTAACATTAAAGCATGTCAACATTCTGTTACACCAAATACACAAAATAATGATCTTTAAAAAAGCATCATATGACCCCTTTAACCTTTCAATTACAAATGGAAAATGGTTTTAGATCAGCCACCGCCTTCCACCTCTTTCACTCAGTCGTGGTTTGTTCAGTGTGTTAGTTATTGATTTTAAACTCAGTGACAGCACAGAACCATTGAGAAAGACAGGGAGTGGGAGATAGCGAGAACATCAAAATTGTGCTATACCCAAAGGCAAATTATTATGAGTGTCAAGGTTTTGAGTAAAAATAAAAATGGATTTCTCTTGATCATAGATACCCCATGTCAACTTGTTTGCAGGATTGTGTATGTATACAGTTAAAAAGTTTGGGGTCATTAAGATACATTTTTTTTAAATAAATTAAATGTTTCTTAAACTCCAAACAAACATATTAGAATGATTTCTGAATGATCATGTGGCAATGAAGACTGGAGTAATGGCAGCTGATAATTCAGCTTTGCCATCACAGGAACAAATTATATTTTAAAATATATTAAAATAGAAAATGGTTATTTTATATTGTAATAATATTTCACAATATTACTGTTTTCACTGTATTTTTGATCAAATAAATCTAGTCTTGGTGAGCATGAGAGACTACTGTCAAAAACAGAAAATTAACAATTAAATATCAGTATGCTATGTAAATCATAAACTTAAATAATTCACTGCAGCCTAGTAGCCAGTCAGAAGGGACTGCTTCATAATAGATGGTGCTACAGTAATGAGCTCAGCTTGAATCCACACTCAAGTAAACTGAATAATAAAAAAAAGACCTGTTTAAATGACATACAAGTTAGACTCATAACTATAGCGCGTTAGCCAAAAAAATACAGAATGCCACAATAATGACAGAAAGCTACAAACCTACATACAACTGACATATTTACATTTTCTCGTTAGCAAACTTAGCATTACATATTTTCCGATATCATTAGGGTGGTAAAAAATACACTATTTTGAATGAGTGCTTGGCTGACTGTTTCACAGGACATCTGGGATGGGGTGAAAATCATTAGCTATACTGCTAGAGCTCGGCTAGCTGTAATTGCCTTGTCTCAGAATAGCATCAAATGAACACATTCTGAAAAGGGGGTTCACTGTATCACTCAGTTAACTCTGCAAACTTCTGACTCTTATAAAGTTTTGACTGTCAGATGGGATATGCTTTATAGAACTGTTTAGGGCTTCCTGCACTTTGCAAGCTTGTTAAAGAAATTATGCAACGTATAATTTAAAGTCTGGTAAGCAAACATTTATGACTTCAGTAATTGGCAAGGATTTCCTAAGGCCCACTGCGGTTGATTCAGCATTCACATGGCAATGGCTAGAATGGACAAGGTCACAAAAAAGTCTCGTCCTCATGTTAATTGGACACTACATATCCAGTTCTGCTTTATTTTTCATTTAGCATTGAAGCACTGGGTTAGACCCTGGATCAAGTTGGTGGGGGCAGAAGCCAGTGACGGACAATCAGAGTCAAAGAAGATGGGGCTGGTAGTTGATGACACCATGTTGTGTCCGGTAGGACTAGACATGGGCCCAGACCCATCAGTGCTGCATGAAAGAGTGGTGGCCAGTGCAGAGGGCACTGAGGCAGGAACCACAGCACACTCCTGCAGGCCACCATTGGTTAGCTGGGCCCCAGGTGGGAATGAAGCTGGGGGAGCTTTCATCTTTGGGCTCCCAGTCGTTCTGGACTGGCTGTCTTCACTTGCTCTCCCACAAAGAGGATATTGTTTCTGTGGGCTACCCTGCCCTCTTGCAGTCCCTTGTTGGGCAAAGCCAAAGTCTGCTTCCCTGGCAGCATTCATGTACAAGCCCATAGACTCAGCAACCGTTTTGGAGAGCTCCTTTGAGTCTGTTTCTGACTTGCGGTTGTGTAAGGAGTTGTTGAAGGAGGATAAAGGTAATGGTTGATTCTGGTTAACTCTAAGCATTGTTGTCTCTGTAGTTTTAAAGTTGTTGTCCTTGCAGACAGATGGCATGTTAGGGGCGTTGCTCGAGTTAACAATATCCATGAGCATGTCACTGTTTGTCAAATTCTCTTCTGCAGAACAGCAATACTCCATGGTGTTCGGCATTTGTGCCCATTTGTTTTCTGCATTTGCCCCTTCGCAGTAACTTTGGTATCTTTTAGTCTCCATACCTGGATCATTTGATAAACCTAATGGACCAATAAATTAGAGATATTTAGACTACAGTCAAAATAGCAGTATTCTGATTAGTACAAATAAATCGTATTACTCTGACTGTCAAACCAAATAGCACACACAATTATTATTCATTACTGGTTTAATTTGACTATTTTTTGGAAAATGTATTACAGATAGTTGGATGCTGCACACTGGTGGTGGTTGAGGAGAGACCCCCTCATATGATTGTAAAGTGCTTTGGGTGTACAGCAATACACTATAAAGCGCTATTTAAATGCCTCATTCATTCATTCATTCAGATATACTACTTTTCAATTGTGTGATTACAAAGAAATGTATCCAGATTTAAATAGTGCTAATTAAATGGGATTGCAAATGACCTCTTCTTTATGTATGTGTTGGGGCCATCCCTCTCTGTCAGACTACTGTGCCTCCCCATTCTCTCCAGCTGAAATGTTTGTATTTAACCAAACTATTATATCTTTCCCACATGTTTTACTATGTTTTTACCACCATGATGTGTGAATCCACTATAAATTAGTACATTTGTTAATTAACTGTGAAAGTCTTTGCTTTGAGCATTGCTGGATCCTGGCACTGCCTCTGCAGACATAAGGTGAGGTGACATGAGGCTCCACATTCAAGGTGGTTTCACGAAATCCACTTGCCCCTCTCACCAAATATGAATTGTGAACTAGCAGGTAACTTTTTCTCCTAGCAAAGCATTTCTTTATACTTTTAACTCTTTGTTTCTGGATTATTATTACTATTATTATTATTATTATTTTATATTTCTAGAAGAGTGGTATAAAAATTAATTTAACTCTTCTGTCCTTCAACAATATGACGTAAAGATTCATTTTAGCAGTGTTACATTTAGTTATGATGAAGTGACAAATAAAAAACTGTGGACTGAGACTTACAACACAGAGACGGCGTGAATGCAAAAATAACTGGTTTAAATCTGAAACAGGTTTGAATGCATTGTGTATTCAATTTCACGTATGTTTTTTTTAATGGCTATGGCAAAAAAAAAAAAAAGGTAATTCCCCACACTGTTGACAGCACCAAGAAGAGAAAGCAAACCGACCACCCACCCACAAGAGCATTATGGGAGGGACTGAAGATGCAATAGAACCGCTGTGAGCTTAAACTGTCAGTCATGCACAGTACATACAGGCTTCTTCTATCATCTATACTAGGGATGTAACGATTACCAGTTTTACGATAAATCACGATAAAATGCCCTGACGGTTAGTATTACCGTTTAAAATGTAATTATCAAAACCGTGTTTGATTATCACAATTTTGAAAACTCACGGTAAATCCTGTCCAGCCAACATCAGTCTGATGCAGAAGCAGCATGCAATGTTGTTGTTGTTGTTTTTTGCACGAGAGGAAATGGCGGCACACAAGTGATTTATTATTATTATTATTAGGGCTTCATGTTAATGTTATTTTAATGTTTTTGCTTAAAAAAAAGTGCATATAGCTGCTAATTGTATTTGTTGTTTGTTGATTTTCAAATATAAAACTTATTGAAATGTTTTCAGTGTGTGTATCAGTTCTTTTTGAACGTTTTCATCTAATTTTAACAAAACCGTGATACTATTGATAATCGTGATAACTTTGGTCACTATAATCGTGATATGAAATTTTCATACCGTTACATCCCTAATCTATACAATCATGAATAGCTCTACATACATACAGTTAGTTCATGAGGCATTGCACTTTTAAAAGTAAAGTCATAAGGTGATGAGAGTGCAGCGTTAAACGATTGACGTAGTTCGTTGTTTTTGTTTTGGATTTTTTTCCCTTGTCTTCTTCCCACGATACCGTACTTTAGCGTGCAACCATTGGACAGAAGCAGACAGACTGTCGCCAAGAGTTCATCACGCCACTCTCGGATTGGTCCTCTATCAGTCTTTTATTTTTATAAGCTTTCTAGCCACAATATTTCTGCGACGTTCTTTAAAACATGTGAAAAACGAACTTGCTCTTTGCATAGTTTACAAAAACTTCAAGTCAACTTTACGTGCAGCCTCGGATGCGTGATATTTCATGCTGCATTGCACAGAGATCTCCAGAATGATGATTGTGACGCAGTTGTTTCTTCTGCAAAAGAGCTCCTCTTTAAATATCGTTGTGATGCGCTTTATTCATCACATGACCCCACGTGAAACAATTACGCATAAAAAAGTGAAATAAATATGTTTGCATGCATTTCCACAAGAATCAATCTTATTCGCCAGTGTTCTTGCTGTCTGTGAACATCACAGTAATTATCGTGTCCCATCTGGCTGAATAAACTTAAGTTGCACTCAACTCTAGATGCACCAGCACGCGTACAGTAAATAAGACAGGATGATGCTAACGTTACGCGAAATAATACAAGCTGCTATCCCTTGAAGAACTTATAACGACGGAACGAAGGAGATCGTGCTAAGCTTTGATATAACTATTTATAATTTGATGTAGGCTCAATTTGATGGAAAGCGTTAGCAATTGCGATGTGTTAAACAGCATTCACTGCTGCATGGATTTGTGTCTTTTATTTGATCTGATGCAAAGGATGTTAGTTAAGGATACATTATTGACGGAAACATTATATGCAATTGTTGTTGTTTCTTTTCATTGCTTTAAAGTGCACTTCATGCACAGCACAGGTCCTGTCAAGTTGAGCATCGCGTGTCACAAATGTACAAGTTTTAGACAAGTTTTAAACTCGTCTGCATTTATAGTAGTTCATATATAGAGGACTGCTCCGTTCTCCGGCGATATAATAATAATAATAAGACATCTTACCGTAATTACGACATCCAATTGTGACAGTTATCTCTACTGCTGGTCACTAGTAATCCAATGGACAAAACGGAGCAAATGACACTAAACCGTGCCGTTGAATTGTGTTTAGAAGTATTCCCAGTGTTGCGACTGCTTGCATGTACTAGTTTCAGTTGTGACAGCTGAACGCACCGCTCACTGCCGCGCTCATGACTCGAGATCCTTAACTACAGCGCATTGTGCGCGTACAGCAGTCAACAGCGGCTTCACCGAAACGTCCTGTCGATTGTTTTCTGTTTACGTGCACATTGCTACTAGATTGTTGAAAGCGCCCAACTGAAGACTAATACAAACAGCGGACTCAGACAGACTTGCGTAGAGACGTCACTGTGTGCACATGGACCCTCCTACTGCAATGAGAGCTCGGGTAGGAGGGGGCGATGGGTGCGCTCAGGTATACGGCTCTCCATCCAGAAGTAGGTCAAGGTAGTTTGATTACGCAGCCGCTAACCTGTGCATCTAGGACAAATGGATGTGCAAACATATAAGTGCATTACCTTACTTGCTAAATGTTATTCAGTGGTATATAAAACTAGATCGGTTAATCATTATTTCATCGAATTAAACCATGCTCTGTGCAATCTCAAACGTATTTTGACATGTTGCAGAAATATTATTTAAAAAAAAAAAGGTGTACATATTTTGAGGCTGAAAATGCAACTATAAATGTTGTCTTCTGCACAAATGGAGCACTGAGCAATGACTCAGGACTGGAACTGATCAAGCATTAAATAACAAATTGATGGAAGTTTAAGGAGAAAAACATTTTTTTGTTGTCATTTCATCCTTTTGTAGTCTTTTAAAGTTGTAATTACCTGAATTCTAAAGGAAAATAAACAGGAAAATAGGTACATAATTCATAATTTAATTTATTTTCAGGCAAGTTAGATCTTATGATCTTGAAAGCAATTGAAAACTACTGGATAAAGTCGTTTTGAGTGTCCTTTTGAAGTGGTTTGTGTGAATTTTAGGCTTAAGGTTATCATATTGGAATGACCATCTAAACTGTGCAGTCACTAACATTTAACAGGCCTAGAATGAAATGTGAATGTATATTTACTAATTAAGCACTACATGAATATAAAACATTTTTTATAGGTCATCTCATTGCTGTCAAACATTGGTTTGATATAAAGTCTACTTTTGAAAAGACCTACGGTACAGTACCACAAGGTGGTGCAATTTTTTGTGATTTTGTTAGGGTTTGTTGACATGGAAATGATTCTTAATAACCCTGTGCTTATGCAACTCTGTGCTTGTATATATGTATATGCCTCTATTAAGTCTTTAACATAACAGAGTTTTCTTGAACCAGCAGCTTATTGATTTAGCCAGAAAATGATTATTAGACAGCTATAATTGATATTGTCCATCTGTTCAAATTGTCGGATCTATCCAGTTAGATCCCAGCTTTGGGGCAAAGGCTTGTAAAACTATTTTGTTATCTTTAGAGTTGCAGATCTGCAGAGTACGAAAAACAGCAGTCATTTATCAGCTAAATATTAACTGCTAACATGTCATTTATTAGTACATTAGTGCATTTTTAATATTAAGATTATCAGCACATGAAAGCAATCAGTCATGTTCATAATAAGAGGGGTGCCACAATGTTCCTAAATAAACAGTACAATAGCTAGCACATTTATAATTTTAATTAAAATGCATATTAATAGTATGATGTGTGTAAATATATGTGACCCTGGACCACAAAACCAGTCACAAGGGTCAATTTTTTTCGAAATTGAGATTTATGCATCATATGAAAGCTGAATAAATATGCTGTATGGTTTGTTAGGACAATATTTGGCTGAGATACAACTATTTGAAAATCTGGAATCTAAGGGTTCAAAAAACTCAAAATATTGAGAAAATTGCCTTTAAAGTTGTCCAAATGAAGTTCTTAGCAATGCATATTACTAATCAAAAATTAAGTTTTAATATATTTACAGTAGGACATTTACAAAATATCTTCATGGAACATGATCTTTACTACTACTTTCATTATCATTTGCTAAAAAGAGACAAAATATTTTATGGGAAAAGGTTGTGTTTTAAAATTTGCTGTTACAACATTTGCATTTTTAAGTAGCCTACTGATTTTCTTATCGAGTTGAGGCAATTTCAAAAAGTCATCTGACTATCATATCTCATAGTGTACACTCTTAAGAAAAATGGTTCTAAACTGTACCATAAAGTTCTTCAGATTATAACAATAGCAGAACCCTTTTTGGGTTCATGCTTTGAAAATGCAATAGGACCTTATTGGTGTTATAGATAAACTTTTTAATGATAGGTTATCTTCATTAATATTAGTATATAAGTACATTTATATAATTAATATTAGAATTATTAATATTATTTGTATTTATTTGTATTTTTTTACCCCTCTATCTGCCTGGTTTTATAATATCTTGTAGCCTGTATTAGGGTTTTACATTAAAACAACAATGACAGTGCTATAACAACAGTTATTAGCAGAATATGTTAATAAATGACAATTGACATTGAAGATAAATAAATACTTAAAGAAGTAAAACAAAACAGAAACAGAAAATAGTGTGATGAAAACCAAGTTCTAGTGAATCACTGTGTTTTTATAATCTGATGCCTTTAAATCCATCATTGTGTGTATTTTGGTGGGATTGAATGGTAGTTTCTCTCTGCAGATGATGTGGTTGTAAGATGTGACAGCATCTGAAATGCACAATTGAGTTTAGAGTTACAATATGTCTCTTTCCATTGGTTTATGTAAAAACAATTATTTATGAAGGCCAAACATTGCATGTGAGCGCTTCACAATGTTAAAAGGAAAAAGTGATAAAAAGTCACTGGATAGCTGTGACTGGGCATGTTTATGCATAAACCCAAGTAATAAATAAACAAATTCTAACAATATGGACCATTAATTCAATATCTTTGTTACTTACTTAGTGGTGAAGAGGAGAGAAGTATCCTTAACTGAACAGTGCTGGTCACACTAACAGGTTCTCCTCAACTAAAAAGAGAAAAGGACATGATTGGTAGGAAACCAGTTACAATTTGAAAGTTAAAAATTATGGACATTTTAAGAAAGAACTCATTTACCTGTTGAGAGTGTGTTGACAAGTGGAAAATAATGTGTTTTTTGAACCTTAAACCGCATAAACCCATTTTATTACACCAAATACACAAAATAATGTTCTTTTTAGCAACATCATATGACCCCTTTAAAACAGCATGTTGTGTGAATTAGGTCATTTTTTATTGAGGTGAAATTGTAGCAAACATGTCAGTGCCCTTAACAACAGTTATTAGCTGAATACATTGACACTGAACATGAATAAATACATGAAGTAAAACACAAAAATTTAAAATAAAGAAAATTAAAATAGATGTGATGAAGTCCGCTATGATGCCTGTAATGAATCAGCTCATGGGAAATATGAATAATTAATCATAACTAGTTATAATTAATTATGAATATTTTAGATCCACTGTAGATATTTAGCTGACCTCTCAGGGTCAACTGTCTTGTCAATTCTAAGAACGTTAATTTCCTGGTTAAAGGAAATAACTTTCTTACTGTACAATTCTACAAAAGCTTGTAGCATAAATCTGCATGATTAAGTGACTCCAGTTATGAGCAAACAATGAACCACGTCAAGTGTGATACAAGTAAGGTTTTATTAACTACATAAACACTTAAACTAGTCTAACATACTACATAAACACATAAACTGGTCTAACATACACATACACACTCAGTTTGTATAGGGAAGGGTTAAAAGCTTAACGCAGTAAAGAGAAGAGAAATAAGGACTATGAAGTTATAGAACCATTTGCATATTCAGCAGATCTACACCTGAGGGAAATGTCAGATTCTTAGTTCAAACACACCTTGGTAAAAAGGTGCAACTGATACCTAATATATCAATTAATAAGACTAAGTTTGATACTTGCAAGTCTCGTCTGTCTGAAAATAGATTCCTGATGCAATCTTAAGGCCCAAGATCTTGCTGAAGTTGGTTGATGAGAAAGAACCAGTTTGCGTCAGAGTAACTTGATGAATGGAAAGGACAAGGCCGAAGCCTGGCATGAGCTTAGGGTTTCCGGGAGCGTTTTTCTATTACAGAGTATTTGTGAAATCTAGCTAACAAAATATATATTGTGTGTTTGAGTGGTCCAGACGCTACATGCCTTTAAGTCCATCATTTTGGTGTGAATGAGTGGCAGTTTCTCCCTGCAGATGATGAAGTTGTGGATATGATGCAGATGAAATAGAAAATTGAGTTTAGAGTTACAGTGTGCACATTATTTAAGAACAGTTATGTTCATAGAAAGTGGACAGTATGTGAGCCCTTCATAATGTTAAAAGGAAAAAATGATATAAAGTCATGGGATAGCTTTAATGTTTTGTGTGTGTGTGTGTGTGTGTGTGTGTGTGTGTATGTGTGTGTGTGTGAGACTTGGTATGTTTATGCATAAACCCAAATAATTACAAAATTCTAACAAAATGTATCATTCATTCAATGTCTCTGTTTTTTAATTAGTGGAGAAGAGGAAGTATCCTCAGCTTAACAGAGCTGCTCACACTTACCTACCAGCACCAACCACCGCCTCTCTTTCTATCCAATCA